TTTTTTTATTTAATTGGATTCAATTGGATTTAATTAGATACAATTGGATTGAAAGACTGCATTCCCTATAAAATTTTCAATTGAATTCACAATTGTGTTTGTGTGCACAGAAAAAACTAACTATTATTTTTAGATTGAAAGGCATAGAGGTATGCTCCATGCAATTCCTATAAATAAATAAAAATGCATTCAGAATTGAAAAACATTCATTTTAACATTCGTGAATCAATATTTCTGAAAATCTGAAAATCCATTTCAATTCATTTCAATCCATTCTGTTTGCTGGGTAACACAAGTCTAAATTCTATCTCTATCATTTATATGATTAGACGCAATACATATCCAAAATCGCAGTATTTGCTAGAAATTTATCTATTTTTTCATTCTTAGAATTTTTCCATTTTCGCTGTAACTGCAAGATCACTTTTTTGAGTGTTACAACAGTTTTAATGTGCATTGAGTGTGAAACCAGCTCTGCCAGTGAAAAACGCTAAGAAAGCCTATGAAAAGATCGAGTTTATGTTATTGAAAGATTATACAGTGTTCTTCACGAAGACGTAATGCGCGAGAAGGGACGTTTTGAAAAACGAATGCGGAATAGAGATCGTTTTTCTAACGCCGTTACAACTATCATTATCCACGCAACAGCGAAGGGAAAGCATTGTATATGTCGGAGACAGTGTGATGCGTCGGGGTAAAAATGCTTGCATTTCAGGCACGACACGGGTAAATAAACGGTTGCTGACGTTGATAAACCAGGAGTTTCCGTCTTGCGCGACGTTAATGGTTATAATGGTCTCGAACGAGATGCACTCGATATTAAAATCGAAATAGAAATAATTGTGTCATTATACCATTGACCGTTATTTATTGTTACTGAACAAGATCAAAAGTGTGAGCTGAAATGTTGATTATGTTAATGTATTCGCGTAATTTTTGTGTAATTATTTAGTAAAAATTATATTCATTTAAAGAAATTTACGCACTAATTATTGCGACGACTCTCATTAGTTCTTTTCACTTTTATATCACGTATCCGGATATTTTTTATATAATATATAAGAAGAATTGATTAGATATAAGTTAAACATTAAAATATACGCTAATAATAACTGCGTTCAGTTGCTTTCAATGGTCTTTTTTTATATTAGTTGTATTTTAAATATTAAAAGCTAGAAGTATTTCTTTTGGTGTGAAAATAAGTCTCGTTTATGGTCAAAATTTTTTCATTTGCTGACAAATGTACTTGTTCCTTTGTATGCTGGAAACTCTTTATTTACATCGCAAACATATTTCTGGATGCTGCGCAAAGACGACGCGGCAAAATTCTCGCCGACTCGTCGAGGAATTTACTGAAAGAATTGCAAGCACGTTGGATTCGCCAGTACTCTTTTTCTTCTTTGAAAAAATTCTTTTACGCAACGTAATCTACCTGCGTTCTTCGTCACGCACGCGAGTAAATTCGTATAAATATCCAAAACGTGCAGCGACCGAAAGCTTGTGGCAAGGAAAGACCGGAGATAGAAAGAGAGAACAACATCGGCAAAAGTGATGTGAAGCTCTTGAAACGTTTAAAGCTATTCCTGGCGTCTGGCGTCGAGGCAGATGGCCGATTGCGAGAGGAATCGATCCCCAGTTTAACTATCGGTCGAAGTCACAATCCGGCGTGGTTTAACGCAAATCGGAATGTTTGAACAACTTAAAAATAATTTAGCAAAACAAAAAAATCATGATAATATCAAAATGATATTAAATAACTCGAAAATGATTAGTAAAAGTCACTTTTTGATGATTTTTCATATTGATTACGTTAAATGTAATTTTTGTGTAAGTTGTTTAATAAAAATTATATTCATTTAAAGAAATTTGCACACTAATTACTGCAACGACCATTAATTCTTTTCACTTTTATATCAAACATCCAGATATTTGATATAATATATGAGAAGAATGTATTGATTAGATACAAGTTAAATATTAAAATATACGCTAATAATAACTGCATAATCATTTTTCCATCTGTTTGCAAATAAAACAGTTAATAATCAATTTTTGAAATTTTATTATGTAAAAATATGTATTCAATTCGGAGAGAATTTTCTTTTAAAATTTATCCTGAAAATATGATAGTTGTGATACGATATTTTAAAGATTTTATCATGCATTTCAGTAAAATTGATCAATTATTTATTCTTATTTTATACTTTATTGTATAGTTTTACTAATGAATGACAGAGATTTACATTAAAAAATTCTTCGAAATATAATGTCGTCCCCACGACTGTCATATTTTCAGAGTAAATTCTAAGAAAAAATTTTCTCCGCGAAGGATTATCTATTTTCATAATTTTGATTTTCATTATTTTGATAAGCTATTATGATCTGTTGTTTTGCTTAAGAATCTAATTTCGAAAAATGTTTGATTGAATTAATTGAAATTCTAGTGGGAAATGAATGGAAAATGACTTCAAAATTTTTTTTATAAGAATGAATTAATTTTAGGAGTACTCTGCACAGATTACGTCTTGGTGCGTGTTTTATATTGAAACTTCGTGTACCGAATCGTAGCCGCCGATCCCACGTGCCTCGCATCTGTTGCTGTCTTCCGAAAAAGAGCGAAGCGAAAACGTCCACGACAACGAGCGACAATATAAACTCGATCGATTTCCGTCGAGAGTTCTTCGCAGGGTACAACGAATCGTCTGTGCCCTGAGGATGAACTCGGCGCGAGGATGTTTAAAGATTCACGAAAAGAACGAGACCCTCTGCATGAGTCTCTTGATTGAATTAAAGTCTTCCTGGCGCGTCGGGAAGCAGATCCGCTGAAATAGAAAAGAGAAAAATCTCACTCAATTATCGCTACGAGATCGATGCGATTTTTATTAATCCTTAACTGACGTCGTAAAGAAATGTTATGTTCTAACATGGATCCACTGGACCCTTATTTTTGAAAAATCAATGAAACTCATTGATCTTGAAAACATTTTATTGTTTATTTTTTTGATGTTCAGGCTCTCATTTACCTATTTTTAATCAAAATTAATAATAAAATTGAAAATTAATATCGCATTGATCCTTATTTGAAGCATGTTAAGTAAACTTTGATGGATGTTGAAAGATTTGATACAATGGACGATGTTAAGGGTTAACAGTTAAGGGTTAATAGTCGAATTTCAATAATGCTATTAGCAATGAGATCGATGCGAATCAATGCGATCTTGTATTAATCCTTAACTGACGTCGTAAAGAAATGTTATGTTTCTAACATGGATCCACTGGACCTTTATTTCTGAAAAGTCAATAAAGTCAAACTCATTAATCTTGAAAACACTTTTATTGTATCTTTTTGATATTCAGGCTCTCATTTATCTATTTTTAATCAAAACCAATAATAAAATTGAAAATTAATATCGCATTGATTCTTATTTAAAGCATGTTAAGTAAACTTTGATGGATGTTGAAAGATTTGATGCAATGGACGATGTTAAGGATTAACAGTTAAGGGTTAATAGTCGAATTTCAATATTGCTATCTTAGAACTATCCCGTAACGATGATGAAGACACACTTTATGATGCTATTAGCAATCGTAATCACACAGGACGATTCATCGAGGAAGACAGGCAGTGAGAGAAGTTCGCGGGGAGGGAGAGGGAGGGATAGCTCTAAAAATAATGTACGACGCATTCCGGGGACGGAGGGAAAGGCTCCAGATGGAACATCAGAAGGGACAGTGTCGCGATTCACTTCTGGCTGCCTTCCAAATGGCGACACTCCGAGGTCCGGCCGGTCGGCCTCATGAATGAATTCGTGCAGGAAAATGAGTTTCCTTGATCAAACCGGCGCGAATATCGCGGGATAGGCAGACTGGACAGACTCGAGCCAAGCCTCGTGTCTCGTTTTGCTATCTTTTGCTCTTTCTCTCTCGTTAGACGCGGAACATCCCTGTCTGACTTCCGCAAATTCTCGCGACGCGACGGCGATTATTATAGATCGCGTCGACGAGTCGAATTGATGTGATAGATGCAACAGAAAATGAGCGAATATACTGATGACCAAGTTAAAATTATTTAGAAGATGCGACTTAACATTCATATTTAATGGATATTTTTAGTAATGAGCCTCTTGATTATAAGATGTAGTAGCATTATTTATAATATGCCTGTCAGCATATTAATGTACTTACTTGATTGATTACCAATTTAATAATAGAATATTATGATATTTCAAGCTAAATACTATTATATACTTAGACTTAATATTAGACTTATTTACTATATTAAAATTATTTTATTTATTATTGAGAGAAAAATTGTTGATATTTATGATTAATTATTACAGTTAATGTTAAGTAATGTTAATAATAACAACTATATGTATGTTTCTATCAACAAATATATATAATTAGTAAATGACAATTATAGTTATCGTTACTATAAAAATTATTATAATTATTACAATTATTATAATTAAATAATTTAATTTTTCTCTTAGCGATTGATTTTCGAAGAAAACTTTTAAAATCGCTCGAGTTAAATCGACGAATAAAAAATATGTCAAATTTTGTTCACAATAATTTAAGACAGTAAATAAGTGTGATAAGTTAAATTACAATGTAATGTTAAGGATGTAATGGACCAAATAAAAGAGTTTTATATAGCATAGAACTTTAGAAACATTCTACATATTTATTACTTTTATTTAAACAGCGCCGTGACGAATCGCGTTTATTTTTCTCGCGTAGGAAGCAGAGACACCAATTGACTTTAGAGGCTCGTTCAGTAACGATTCAAAACAATCTGACGAATAAATCGCGAGTTTCGCTTCGCGGAAATCGCATACAAAGAAAGGCGGAATAACTTACCGTTCTCTTTGCCTTATCGTTAACATCGCGTCACGCTGTACATTGCGATGTACCCGAGGGATACAGATTGAACGTGTATTCGTTGGCATGATATATTCATACGACGCATAATAAAGTAAAGAATGTTTACGTTGCAGATGCAATTAATCCTGACGTTGTGGTATCCGTGGGCGAGAAGCTCAATTTGCGTTGCCAGCAAAGCTTTAACTCCAAGACAACGTGGTATAAGGACGATGAAGCCTTGCATAAATCGACGAACAGAATCCGTATAAACAAGCAGTTATTGAAGTTCAAATTCGTTGAGCTGGAGGATACTGGCGTCTACAGCTGTAAATTGGAATCGAACGAAACTATCTATTGGAGAAACGTGACCGTACGCGTCGAGAACCTGCAGAACGACGGCTTCCAGACCGAAAGCGAAGACAAGAGCGCGATGAATATTCTCAGATCGGAAGACGGAGATAATGATCTCGAGATGGAAACTAGAAGTGAGTTATCCGACAACTCTCACTCACGAATCTTAATTAACTTGTGAATAATCATCTCGGATGATTTTTATATCTCAGCGGCAAGAAAATAAAGCTCAGTCACTGAAGGAAAAGATTGGCTGAAGATGGCATGGCATTTTTAATTGGTTGCAGCAGCCAATTTTTAGTTGCGTTAGTTTATCAAAATCCTATAATACTGACATTTCGACATGCTGACAGGCTATCGTTTTAGTCTACACAATTGGTTTTTTATTGATTGAGAATTCACCAATTTTTTTAAATTTCACCTAAGTTTTTTTAGACAACGTTTAATAAATCAATATTAAAAGAAAGGTGTTGGATATTTATAGTTATAATTGCATGATATAATAATTATGATAAGGAATTCCATTTTTATAATTACTACTGCTGTAATGTTAATAATAACAATCATATATTTATAGTTCTATATAAAAAAATAAATAGCTAATATTGAAAATTATTAGAAATTATACTCGAAATCATTTTTCTCTCAGTCAGTATATAATAATTTCTAATTTTAATAAATTGTAGATCAATCAATATTACACGACACATATAATTGATAACAATAACTTTTAATTGAAGTGTAAAAATTATCCTAAGTAATCATTTACACGAAACTAAATGACTGTTCCTGAGTTAAACACTCAACTGGTATTAACTCAAATTGAATCATGATATTAAATACGTGCGCTGTACGATTGAAAATAATCTCTTCCGCAGATTTGCCCGAGACACGATCGTTGCACTTGGACAGCGAAAAGTTAGACATAGACCTGGACGAGAAGAGCGAGAGCTACACGGAAGACGATCATAACCAGAAGGTTCCAGAGAGTCCGCCTTCTTTTAACAAGACCGACGAGATGCACACATTGGTAGTGAAACCCGCCGGAAGCATGATGCGATTAAAATGCCCGAGCGTGGGCAATCCTAGGCCAAACATCACGTGGTTGAAGAACAACGAGGAACCAAAACGAGATATTGGTTCCGTCAGCAAAACCAAGTGGACCCTGAGATTGGAGGATCTTGTTACCAAGGATAGCGGCAATTACACGTGCATCGTGTGCAATTATCTGGGATGCATCAACTATACCTTCAAGGTCGACATTATCGGTGAGTATAGATGATACGATTTTCCATGGAAAATCTCCGTTTGCGAGTTGGATCGCTTTCTTGCGCATAAAACAATTTTGCGTCACGTCCTCGTTGTTACGTGAACACATGACTCGTCGAACTATGCGAACTGAAAATCTACTAACGAAACACAGAGCGTTTCCCGCATAAGCCATACATCAACGAGGACTTTCCGAAGAACGTGACCGCTCTGGTTAACAGTACCGCGATCTTCAGATGCCCCATTGTCTCCGATCTTGAACCGTTTATACAGTGGATTAAAGTCGCCAAAAACCCTGGTGATCAAGAGGATTCACCACCTAATGGGACTGTGCTACAGGTACATCCGCCATTTATCGCGATGATGGTGGTGGAGGGTCCTGGGTCCTGACTTTTTTTTGTTTACATCTTAATATTTTTTATTCTAAAAACTTCATTTCGTTAATTAATGTAATGAATCCGTTACTGTGCTATCAATGGTGTAGGGTGAACTAATTATTTATTCTCAAAATTTTTTTTCAAAATATCAAATGCCACAAAATTTTTACAGGTTTTTGGGCGAAGAAGACTTTCTATCTTAATTGTGATTAACAAAACTTGATTATTTCATTTTACAGCATACGTCGTTTAGGAAGTATCTTCACGGTTATGGGTTTTCTTATTATTCTTAGGTTCTTATTATTCTTATAATTCTTTACTTTTTACTTTATTTTATTCTAGTCTATTTCATACACAGAAATCAAAACAGGACACTGGCACCCTAAACAAAGAATTAAACGAAAACTTTAACGAATGCTACAACATATTACAACGATTTATTTTATTTTATATGTAAATAAATTTATCTACATTTGAAAATTTAGCAAATAGAATCCTGGTTCATTTGTTTTTTCTATATTACAAATCGTTATTTTCACACAGTTTTTTTATTTTTATATTTACTTGATGTAAAAATAATAACATTTCAGATAACTTGAATTTTCTATTTCTATATTTCTTGCTTCATCTTCTCTATGTGTACAACTAATTCTAGCTAAATATTAGTTTAAACGGTGGTTGGGTTTCTTTTTCTCTGTAGAGACTGTACCGCATCGACCGATCCTGACGATCGCACCACGAAATACCACGGTGCTTATAGGAGGCAACACTAGTATGATCTGCCGAGTTTTATCCGATGCACATCGTCATCTCGAATGGTATCATGGTTACCATACTTCTTTCGACACCGTCAACATGACCAATCAAAGCTTACGGGTGGAGGTCAAGGTGGGCGCAGCTTGCATGTAAACTTTTTTTTAATCGCTTTCAATCGCTTCATCGCTTTGAAATCTTGCAAATGTCCTTAATTAAATATGTCTCTGTTCTATCTTAATGTTTACCAAAGAAGCAAAGGAAAAACAGTTAGGACTGTTTTTTAACTAAAATGAAAAAGTTCCGAGATGTACAAATTATGTAAGTCATATAAAAGACTACTTAAGCAGAATCGATTGATCGCCATGAGTATTCTTTTCGGAAGAGATATTTTTATTTTAGTCGAAAAATAGACATAACTGAACATTCTCTTTTAAACTTGTGTATTAGTATAAATCTTGTTGTATGATGTATCCGATAGATTCGATCGGTGTCGAGTGTACGATTAATGACCTTTCATTCAATATAGATAGGAACGAATGCAGAAGATCCGGAAGAGCTAAAATTATATAACGTTACTGAAAAGGACGAGGGATGGTACACATGTATTGCCCAGAACACTTTAGGAGAAACATTTAGCAGTGCTTATCTACGTGTAGTCGAAAGTGAGTATATAATCCAATTTTATTTAAAGTCATTGAGCGTTTTCATTCATACGAACAAAGTATTTTTAAATGGATCCATGTATGTACAAATGCTAAATAAGCTTTACATTATCGTAAAATTTTTCAGCGCTGGACGAACAGAAAGTACCGTTAGCCGCGAAGCCGCATATCTTGATAAACATTCTGGCGGCAATTCTATGCGTGTTCTTCGCCGTGGGTGTCGTCGTTGTAATATACATCTTCCATCGATTGAAACGCGAGAAGATGAAGAAGCTGCTTGCGATAGAAACAGCGCGTGCGGCGGTTGTGACGCAATGGACCAAGAAGGTAATCGTGGAGAAGCAGAAATTGGTGAACGCGCAGAACGAGGAGGAACTGTTGATGCCGGTAGTAAAGATCGAGAAACAAAAGTCCACCGTTGTCACTGATGATAATACTAATGACAACGTGTTCGAATACGAGATACCGCTAGACAACGGTTGGGAAGTACCGAGGGAATATCTCACACTTGGCGATACACTGGGCGAAGGAGCCTTCGGCAAGGTTGTCAGGGCTGAGATAAACATCGGTAAACCCGGAATACCCAACGTCGTAGCGGTAAAAATGTTGAAAGGTGAGCAAATGAGAAAACATGCAACTAGCCAACCACGATCCCTGGAAAACATACCTTCCCAGCAAACGAGAATGGATTAAAATGGATTGAAATTTTTTTCTATCTGAATGCGTATTTTAAATAGCGAATACTTTGTTCTGGATTTAATTGGATTCAGTTGGATTCAATTAAATTCGATTCGATGCAATTGGATTGAAAAACTGCATTTCCTATTCAAAATTTTGAATTGAATAGTGTTCACAATTGTGTTTGTGTGCACAGAAAAAGCTAATATTATTTTTAGATTAAAAGGTGTAGAGATATGTTTCAATTCCTATAAATGAATAAAAATGCATTCAGAATTGGAAAGCATTCATTTTAACATTCGTGAATAAATATTTTTGAAAATCTGAATCCATTTCAATTCATTTGCGCGCGCGCGCGTGTGTGTGTGTGTGTGTGTGTGTGTGTGTGTGTATTTTATATTCTGTACACATCTATATAAAAAAATTTGTTAAATCAACTGTGTTTCAAAAAATTCAACAGACTTTTGTGTTAATTTAACAAGAATGAATATGTTAGGAAATAACAGATTATATAAAAATTAGCACAAAAAAAGTAACACTAACACAATTTGTTTACAAATTGTGAAAGTTAATTGTGATAGTTTTTATTCCTTTAGTAAAATTAATATTTATAATATGTTAACAATTTTATTTCATTTTAGAATTTACGTTTTGAAATACGTAAGTTATTATTATTATTTGTTTACTGATTCATGAATTGTGTTATTTTAAGAACTAAGAAATATTAAATATTAATTTAATACAAGATATTCACATAACACTCAGATATATTAAAAATTTAACATAATAATTTTAACAGATTTTAACACAAATATAAAATGTTTTCTACTGTATATTTTTGTTCTCAGAGGGCCACACAGATACCGACATGGTGGATTTAGTTTCGGAGATGGAAGTGATGAAGATAATTGGCAAGCACGTGAACATCATCAATCTACTAGGTGCCTGTTCTCAGAACGGTCCTTTATATGTCATAGTGGAGTTTGCTCCTCACGGCAATCTACGAGACTTCCTCCGAGAGCACAGGCCCTCTTTGGGATACGAACCGGCTATCGGACAGGAGTTGAAGGAGCGAAAGACCCTCACGCAAAAAGATCTGGTCTCGTTTGCGTACCAAGTGGCGCGTGGGATGGAGTACCTGTCTAGTAAGAGATGTATACACAGAGATTTAGCGGCTAGGAACGTCCTCGTCAGCGATGAATATGTGTTGAAGATCGCTGACTTTGGTCTTGCCAGAGACCTTCATTCCAACGACTATTATAGGAAGAAAACGGATGGACGGTTGCCGGTGAAGTGGATGGCCCCAGAGGCTCTCTTTCATCGTGTTTACACCACTCAATCCGACGTGTGAGTATTCAGGGATAATAATTCTTTCATTTAATAGAAAACAATTTATTTAATTATTCCGGCTTACTCCACATTTTTCGCGTTTTTTAAATCTTTTAATACTTGATTTACTGAGCGATTAATGACCATTTCTACTTTCTACTATATAGATTGATATTTTATTTTGTGTAAAAAGAAGGTTTCTGAAATATTTCGACTTTTTAATAATTATGTCCTTTACACTGGTCCTTTACATTTGGTTTCTCATCACGTTTTTAACTTTCACTTTTTAATAATTTATTCGCTCGAATCTTTTTAATGAGTAGGAAACGTTGGTACTTCTAGTGTTAACATATTTTATTTGTGATTTCTTCTAGATGGTCGTACGGGATCTTGTTGTGGGAAATCATGACCCTGGGCGGCACGCCTTACCCATCCGTTCCGTCGGTGGAGAAATTATTCCAGCTGCTTAGAACAGGTCATCGAATGGAGAAACCGCCTTGTTGCTCGATCGAAATGTAAGGCACGCCTTTATGAGCGATGTGACTACAATACATAGTGCATTCTCGATATACGATTCATCTTTACATTTTATCTCGATTTCTTGCTTATACAGATACATGCTCATGAGAGACTGTTGGAGTTATCAGCCTAGTGAACGACCGACATTTGTCGAACTGGTCGAGGATCTCGACAGAATATTAACGATAACAGCGAACGAGGTGAGTCGTGATATTCGCAAGATGATAAATAAGTAGGAGAATTTTTGTAATAGTATAATAACAGTTCTGATTTATACATACTTTTTTGATGTTAGGAATATCTGGATCTCGGCCTGCCCCAGTTGGATACGCCTCCGTCCAGCCAAGAATCCAGCGAGACAGAAGAGGAAGGTGAAGAAAAATTTCCATATCTATTATGAGTCGTATACTCGCGAAGAATGTCACTTAAATCTTATAGACGAGATACTTGAGATAACTCAGAGACTCGTCAACTCGCAAACATAATAAACTCAGCGAAAACGAACGAAATGGATACGATAAGAAATAAAGAGAACAGGAGTCTTAGCGTGAGAGATCACAAGAATAATAGACTGAAATGAAACAAGCGAACACGCCAAATAAAATAAATCAGTATTGAACTGTGTAGAATTAAGGAGAACGAGTTAATCGTAAAAAGAAATAGTGTATGTCATACATCAAATAATCGACAAAACATTCTATGATTGTTGCTACTGTTTCTCACAGAAACTTCGATTAAGGCAAAAGAAGAGGACGAGCGACGAGCGGAAAACTGAAAGGACACTATCTTTTGCTACGCCCTTAAATACAAGAAACGGATTTGTATATAGCGCTTATACAGATCTTACAAGTATTTATAGATGTAATAATTGTGCCATGATATTAGTGCCTTGCGGACATATCGGACGACAATAAATAAAGAGATAAGTTATCACGATGGTGATATTCGTCCACGTGTTGGTCGCGTAGATCACACAAATATTAAACGATTAATGAATATCAAACATGATATTGTGTTTTGTAACTAGTCAATTGTGGAAATTGTATGTTTTCTTGTATTATAGTAGCTGATAGATTTTTAGCGTTTTCACGCGGCTAGCATTAGCGGATGACGAATCATAGATTTTGTATGTGGCGGGCAAGTTCTGCAACAATATTTTGTAAAAAAGAAAAAAGAAAAGAAGACTTGGACACACATCCCATATATAGTACAGAGCATTCTAGCAATATTGTAGCAACGTTACTGCAACATTATTCAAACGTTGTAATGTTGTTGAAATAGAATGTACTGTGGAGTAAGAGATTAAACGCGAGAAGAAACGATAATTTCGAGAAAAAAGTCCAAAGTATCGTTATAAGTCTTGTAGTTGTATTGATCATACGTGTATAAATGGGAGAAAGGCGTTTAGAGGTAGATAATTTATTTCTTGTATATCAATGTATCTCAAGTATACCCAGTAAGCAAATCGTTCGAAATATTGCAGTAAAAAATTTATTTAGAAATTGCTAGCAAATTGACTTATGTCTGCATTATATAAGTGCATATTTTGCAGACATAATTTTGCAGTAGATTGGCGGCAAAAACAAAAAGCAAAGCTTAGACTTCTGCTATTGTTTCGTAGCTAATTTATATTAAAACAGTGCAGTATGTGATCAATCAATCAATTTACTGTATTTTATTGATAAATATTTCTATAATTCTACCAGCATTCTACTAACAGTATTGTACAAATGTTGCATCAAATCTGTTCTTCTTTTTGTTGAAAAATTTGTAACGGATAATTTGTAGAATCTGTTTTTGAGAGTTGGCTGCCTGGGTATATGTATGTACATCTCTTCAGGATTTTCCTTTTTTCTTACATAATTTTAAAATACATCTCGCTTGAGCGATCCTTTTGTAAAAAGTGACAACAATCGATTTACGCATTAGAAAGTAACTTTTTAATTTGTGACTTGTACATATAGGCGTTTATTTAAAGATTATTTGTTATTTGAAAGTAGAAAATAAACACAGGTAAATTAGAATTTACCTGAGATTTTACATAGATTTTGTGTATAAACCATGTAAAATGTAAAGGAATCATCATCACGATACGAGTTTCATCTCGAATAAATCGATCAAACTGTCAAAATAAAGTAATCCTCCGTACCTTATTATTCTCTGAGTGTCCTTGAGTTTTCCTGCCAAAAAAGCATCAAACAGTTTCTTGATATTCATGCGTTGCGCGTTATAATCTTTCTTATAATTTAATTCCTATAATTAAATTAAAAATAATAATTATAAAAATATAAAGGAAAAGAAGAAAAAACGGGATAAACATATGCAGTTTTCATTTTTGTATAATATATAAAATACGCAGACAGATCCTACAATTTAAAATTGTATAGAAAGAGAAAAAAATTATATATTTGTTACAAAATAAAATTGCACAAAAAACAGCTAAAAGATCATAAGTGAATGATGAAAGTTAACAAATTATGCAAACTATGCAAATTTTCAAATACATTCCCCTGAAAAATTAGGAAATCATTTAAAGCTTCTAAATAGTTCACAATAGCTAGATATTGAAGCGTGACATCAAAAGCGAGAAATAAAACGTTAACTTTTGTTACGTGCCATTTGTAAATACAGATAATTTGGACACAACAATGGGATCCTTTTAAAACAATTGCAAAAATGGATATTATGAAAAAAATGCAATAGAATTTATAAACGCTATGTTGAAATGATAAACTGGATATACTATATTAATAAAAATTATACAAATGAATTTTCATGTGAAAGGTAACGACGCTTTGAATTGTAAAAATAGGGAATAGTAAAAATAATGTAGAATAACATAGTCGTATAAAAAATTTATTATAATTATAGGAGATATTTATTTTATGCTGTAATGGTATAATAATATGAAATACTACTAATACAGGTATGAATAATATGAGAACACACACACACACACACACACACACACACACACGAGATGTTTATTCTTTAAAATATTGTATTATGTAAAATATAATATACCTAAAACTGGGACATCTAAAACCCTCGTTCTTACATATATATCATTTTTCATTATCTTACTTTATTTCAAAATGAGGTAAGAAGAAACGTTGAATCTTTTCATTTGGAAATATATTACAATTTGAAATTGACGAATAGTTGACAATATAAAAACGTTTGTTAAATAATATCTGTTGGTCATTACCTTAATATTGATATACTTACCTTAATATTGATATACTTATCTTCGTTAACTAAAAATGGTATCATAGTCGACATATATTCAAATATTTTAATCATCGGACCATGCTACATAATCTGTGTTTCCCGATAAGTGTCGCGTGAAATTCCAAAATACAGATACGTTAAACTGACGTCCATGAAATGAAAAGCATCTATGATTTTCACACGACTGATGGCATATTTATAGTTTTATATAATGGAAGTTGATGTAAATTTATAAATCGTACAATTATATTCATGGTTTCATTATCATAATTGGCACGAAAATATTCTATTTAACAATAAAAAAATATTTTACTGAATTATTTTGCACATGTATGTTGTATGATAACACGCCGATTGGAAGATATGATCTCTCTGATGATTTTGACTTTGGTATATGTTGTCAAGATCACTCTGAATGACCTCCAAAACATTTTAATCGTTCCTTGTTATCTGTCAAAAAATTATTAACAAAAATTTTTTTAAATAACATCTTATTTCTGCTATGATATTAAGAATCATTCCATATATGGATATATCTTTCTATCAAGAAGCGTCGTTATATCTTTTTTATGATAAAATTGAAAAAAAATTTGATTTATTTGTTATCAAATTATTAATGCATTCTCCTAACACCCAAAAAGAATTTTAAACATTCTTGAATTTTTTTTACCATAAATTATTTACAATTTTTAAAATTCTTATTAACATCAAATCATTATCCATTAATCCTCAGTGACTCAATCAACAATTTCATTAATTTTTCCTAGAATCATTTTCCTTAATAAGGTTTCTACAATATTATTGAAAAAAGAATTAATTGTACGCTATTTAAAAAAATTCAAGAGGACCTAATTTTTTATAGAAAATATTTTTTTTAATTTTTTAATTGCATGTGACATTAGCTTGCATGAGACAGATGAATATTCATCTTTCAACAGTTTTTTTTTATTTTCGAAAGTACTTTAAAAATTATTAAAGCCATAAACATAATGTGTGGCAATAGCGATAGCGATAGAAATAGAGATAGAGATGCAATAACGATAGCGATAGGAACAGAAGAATCTAACATATGTATGTCAATGCACTTAAAAATAAGGCAATAGTGATAAATTTCCGATGAATTGGAATTCTATGTCTATTGTCTTATAGCCTACTAATCAGTATTCAGATTTTTCGTTCTGTTTATATATGCTATAACCTTAAAGCAGAAAGAATATTCTACAGTCTATATACATTATACGAAATCAGATTGATTGACATTTTTATTTCTTTTGGGGCATTGTGAAACAGGAAGAGGAGGCGACAATTATTATAAGTGCAGTCCATTTGGCTACAAATATTTCAAAGCGTTTGATTAACCAATCGGAAGAAAGAATTTTACTAATTGACTAATCAAAAAATGTTTCGAAACATATAAATGGATCGTAACTTATATAGCTCATACAGCACAAAATTGCACAAAAGTTGCAATAACATCGTTGCGACATTGCAGCAACATTGCATGTTACAGTATAATATTGCAGAGATTTCCTGGAAAAATTTTCTCATAATTTTTATACAAATTGGAATATTTTTCAGAAATACTCAAAAATATTCAGAAAGTTTACTATTTTCTTTCAGAATTTTTCATACAAGTGAATTCTGAAATATTCTGAAATTTCTTATCACATAATTTTAAAAAAAATATTTTTTAGATTTTATAACATTTTATCCGAAATTATATTTACAAAAAATCTAAGAAATCTTATGATATTTTTATAATTAATATATATATAACAAATTCTGAGAAAAGATATTCTGAAAAATGTTCCAATTCGTAGAAAAAATGTGAGAAAGTATTATAAAATTATATATAGAAATTCTGAAAAATTATATAGAAATTTTGAAAAATTATATGAAAAATTCTGAGAAAAATTTTCACCGAGTTTTTTTCACAGAGTTTTGCAGCAAATTCTGTACTGTATCAGCTGTATGGGTCGCTTATTTCTACTATCGTTATTCTTATCGCTGTTGCCTCGCATTGTGTTTAGGGCTTTATAAACTACTTATAAGATCTCTTTTACATATTCTACATTTAAAATTTTAAAATGCTATCATATCCACTCTCATCAGACTTCTTGATAAGTTCAAGTCGTTCGATGCCGTGGCGCCGTGATCAGTCTGTCTTATTCCTCAATCCGTTTTGTTGTCGTATGAGTAAACGTTTAACCATTGAGTTGTTTTTAAAACAGACTTTTAGTGAAACTCCCTTAGTTCCACAAATCACTCGCCTTGATTTGTGAATCGAGGTGCAAGTATGCTGTGGAATTTGCGAGTCCACCCCGCAGAGATCCGCGACGAGTAAAAACTGCCGGAGCACCATCGTGCGTTACGTTTCAAATTGAGGTTAGGATTCGATAACCCACTTTCCGCAATTACATTTAGCACACCGCCCTGAAATTGTAACAGCGGATTAAACCGACCTGTTTCGCATTTTCTTGAATCTAGTATTTTCTTGTGAGTGATGACCCGTTTTCATTCCAACAACTTTCTTGCTCCAGTAACCTTCGATTAATATCTGTGTTTAATTAATGCAATCATTATATCCATCATTACAGATAATATCTCTCTGTTAAATGGTGATTGTCGATGCCATGGAAAGAAGGATAAAACTGAAAACTTTGAACAGTCACATAACATGCAAGATATGTCGCGGATATTTAATTGACGCCACTACTGTTACCGAATGTTTACATACATTCTGCAAGAGTTGTTTGGTAAAGCATCTAGAGGAAAAGCATACCTGTCCGACATGTCAAATTGTCATACATCAGTCTCATCCACTCCAGTACATCAGCTTCGACAGAACTATGCAGGATATTGTCTACAAATTAGTTCCTGATCTCCAAGAAAGTAAGAATTTTATTCCTATAATAGATAGAAATTTAAGACTTGTTTTTATAAAGCAATAATCCAAAGTTAAAAGATTTTTTTGCTCGTTTTGACTTTTAATTTTATTTCATTTTTTAATCCCTTAACATAAATTTTTCTTTTCAATTATTAACAGAAATGTTTTCTTACTTTAGATGAAATCAAAAGAGAAAGAGAATTTTATAGAGCCAGAGGTTTGCCTTGTCCTAAAGATATTTTGCCCAACGCTGGCGAAGTTGAAGAGGAAAAAGCCAATGCGGATGCACATGCAGAATCAGATTATCATCGTACTGATGAACAGGTAACCGCAGCGTCGAGAAATAGATTTACAAGAATATTTTAATCAGTTAAAATTAATGTGTTGAATTTGTAGGTTAACGTATGTTTGGAGTGTACAAACTCAAGTTTGAAAACTCTGAAGAGACGATTTATCAGGTGTTCAGCTCAGGCTACGATAACGCATATGAAAAAATTTATTGCTAAAAAGGCTTTGAACGGCATGGAAAAATATAGAGATGTAAGTGTATTTGATGATGATATTATAGATGATGTTACAATTATCATTTATTAATTTGTCTGTATTTCTCGACAGATCGATATTTTGTGCAATAACGAATTATTAGGTAAAGACCACACATTGAAATTCGTTTATGTGACGAGATGGAGGTTTCGGGACCCACCCTTGAGATTACAATATAGATCACACATAGATATGCAAGATTAACCTTTCGGGATGTACAAAAATCACAAAGGATCCGTTCCTTTATTTGTACATTTTTCTAGTTACATTCTCATTTTAACTGTTGTAGTACTTATTTCTACGTTTATT